TTGCATGCGTTTGGGGATTGACGTATTCACGTGAAATTGCACTTTCTTCATGCGCGTTAAACGAAGAGAGATTATTTTTTCCCTCAAAATATTCCCGTTATTTCTTTATCAAAAGTTATACAAGGATGATATTAATTTCGTTTATGAGCTCAACTGTCGCAGTGATTATCGATGATGCGAATTTGGGTAGAAGATCACTGATTTTAGGGAAGTCCTGCGCCATTAAAATTGACGGTTTTCTACATACTATGGCATTATCAACAGCACATGGCGAAATTTAGGTGATTTGCATACACAGAGAACTGATATAAGTGTTTCAACTGATGAGTGGAGCACAAGGGCTGGTGGTACAATGGATAGCATATCGCGTCAGGATGTGAAGAGGAGTGGTTCGATTCCCTGCAAGTCTCAACCATTTTTTGCAGAATAAAACTTCGTCTGCGACAGCTAGTATATATATGTTAACTTAAGCTACCTAAAATAACGTTTTGCTAATAAATCGGGTCTAACAAGAAAAAAAAACTTTCGTTCACCTTGTTTCCTCATCTGGCAGTGGAACATGTATGGTTAAATCCAATCTTCCGGGCCTGAGCAAAGCACTGTCCAGTCGATCGGGCCGATTTGTTGCCGCCAATACCATCACCTCACCTTTCCACTCCAAACCATCTAAAAATTTTTTCAGCTATAAAATGAAATCATTCAAAAAATGCGAAAAAAAAAACAGAGAATTATTGAAATGAAATGAAAAAAAACCGAACCAAGTTCAGTGAGAAGTTGCGTTAATACACGTTCTCCAACATGACTCTCACTTCTGTCACCACGATTTGCCGCAACCGCGTCAATTTCATCAAAGAAAATTATTGCAGGTGCAACCTGAAACTTTGATTTAAGCCTAAATTAAAAGCTTTTTAATTTAACAACGGCTACTGATTTTGAAATAGAAAAGAAAGAAAGGGCCATGGAGGTCCAGCCAAAATGCTTAGCACAGAACTGACTAATTTGGAAGGGTCAAAAGCTATAAAAGGGATGAAAGAAACGAGGGACAAAAATCACAGAAAAAAGAGGTACTTCAGGATACACCTATTTACTTACCATACTTGAAATAGCTGTTAATTCATTCTACTCCTCCACTTCAAGCAAAATGCAACTTTTTCAGTAGGAACCTAAAAGCCGATCTTAATCTCTTACGCAGTCCCGATGGTAATTTTACCTCCGTACTTTTCTAACTGAATTTTGAGGTCAGACAAAAACACATTCTTGTACACAGAAATCCCAAATCCACAGGCACACACGATATCGTCAGATAGTGCAAAAACGCATATTATGGACGGCTGTTTGTCCGTGTGTGCATTTGTGGGTGTGTGTGTGTGTGTGTGTACATATTAAGCTGTCCGCACATCTTAAACTTCAGATCTCTGAAAGCTATGCAGCCGAATTTTTGCCAAATTATTTCGACTAATGAAAAAAACGGAAAAAAAATAACGGAAATCATAAACGCTGAACTGCATCAAAAAATCTGTTTACCTGTCGTGCTCGTCTAAAAAGCTCGCGAATTGCCCGCTCCGATTCTCCAACCCATTTACTGAACAGCTCCGGTCCTTTGACAGCCAGGAAGTTCATTCGCGATTGCGATGCAATTGCTCGTGCTATCATCGTCTTACTGCAACCGGGTGGCCCGTAGAGCAAAATTCCAGATGGCGGTTTTGCGGCAAAACGTTCGAATACATCTGGATATTGGTATGGCCATAAAACTGCCTGGAAAAGAAGAAATTCACCGATAATTTCCCTAAAAAAACAGTAAAATGTTCAGTTCCAGATGAAAGCTTAGAATTTTGCTAAATACAGACATCGTTCGCAAAACCGATGTAGCTTTTTTATGTTAGGCGTGTTTTTGGAATGTTCCAATACACCGCTTTTCGATTTTGGATTAGTTCTTGAGGCCCAACTGCCAAGGAATCAAAATTCTCTGAATTATAGCTTTAACAAAAACGTCCCAACTTTTGCTTATGACAGCCGCTCCAGAAGAAAATTACCAGAAACGCGCAAGACGATATGCAAT